AAGGGTAGAGGGTAATGGAAGGGTGGAGGTGTCATGAGGAGTAAGAGGAGGAGTAGTGGAGGAGTAGGGGAGTGGTGTCAGGTCCGAAGGTGAATATCAGAACGGATGGCGGTAGGGTAGGACTCTGGAGGTGGTGAAGATGGAGGTCCGGGAGTTGGATTGGGATCAGGTATGTACAGATATGACACACGCCTGCTTTGCACCCTGGGAGGGTGTCATATCCATACCAACTCCGCCTCACCTCCACTCTACTCCACCACAGCTCCAGTCCACCTCCAGTTCACCTCCACCTCCAATCTCCGGTACCTTCTCTGGTACCTCTTATCCTCATCTTAAACATTTATTAATATTTCTATCTACCCAATATTACTACGGACCTCCTAGGACCTCCACCACCCCCGCAAAGGTTTTCCCACTCTCCAGTAGCTGTCACTAATTCCACCCTTCACCTACCCACTCCACAATGCTCGATAAGGTGATTCTCTCACGAGCTCACCGACCCAGCAAGTGGGTAAGTCCCCCTTGGGTTTTCCCCTTTGTTCCCATTTGTCTTGTATTATGTATATAAGTCCTGTACTGTAGTTGATGGCACCTCAGTGCAAAATCGACAAGACTATCCCCCAGAGTTTGTGCCCCTTGTTCTGAAGTTAAGGACCAAACTCTTAAGCGTTACCGAACGTAGGCACAGCACTCCTCTCCGAGTTGCTGAGGCCATGGTCCTCCTGCCCATTCTCTACCTCCAGCCTCCTTCTGGGGAAAGGTCCAGGGACACTGCCCCTCCTCACCATGTACTTGACAGAGGGTCCCCCTGCTGGACACTACATCCGGACCCCCTCTACCCTGGACACATCCCTGACAATTATGTGAATGATGGCAGGATGCAAAAAAACACCCTGATAAAGCCATTGTTGGAATATCTTCCTAGGCAGTAGTTTGGTATTTTATTTGCCTTGGTTGCATGGTGCCCCACAGTACAATCCTAGATAACAGTCAATTGCAAGACACATAGATATGTGTCAGGGATCAACAATGACCCTGGACCCTGGTGGCCCTGATCATCTCCAGCATTGTTCTGGAACATTCTATGCTCATGTGATTCTATCAGCAATCTTGGTTTCCTTATTGCCAGACTCTACATGTACATAGCTGACTCTAAGATGGGGACATTCCTTTCTTCCCCAGCCTTACAATGGAAAAGAGGTGTTCAGGAATTTTGACATGGAGGTTGCTTGAACTTGGCAGGATATCCATTGGATGAGGAACCAGGCCAAATTCCACACTTTCAAACAGTGGCAACTGAACATAGAATCCAATGAGAGTGTCATAGTCTCTGTGAAGAGAGACACCATCTGGGCCTAGTTGGTTCTCGTGTTCAAAGTATTGAGTCTCAAGTGACAGCCCCTTTCATTCTTGCCTTCTAAAAGAACTTGCTCAAATCCTTCATCCAAGACCCCAGTGTCACAACTGACAAATCCTGGGGCTCCATCAGTGGCAAACTAATGCCAATAGGCAAATCTGTCACCCTGAAACCCAACCCAACTGACCCTCAATCTGATGTCTGGCTCCCCACCACCTGCACCCCCATCATGTGAGACTTGACCAATGACCAGATCCTGGACTGTGCCAACATTCTGACTTTTCCTCCAGTTCCTGAGCCCTTGGTGCTCTGGGCATTCCATCACTCAGCCTCTGCACCCTCCAGTCTCAGGCCTATGGCACAGCCTTGCCTATTCCCATCTCGTCCCCATCCAGACCACACTCATTGCTTCCCACTATGTGGTCACAGCCATACACCACTTCTGCACCTTCCATGGTTAAAGAAAATCGGAAAAAATATGGGAAACATGGGAGGGGTATCTGGAACAGTGGTAGATGTGTTTCGGAAGTGAGGTGCTTGACATGGGTGGTAGAATCGTGATGATCAGCTCATTTGCATTGTACTGGCTGTGCCCGCCTACAGTGCTCCGCATGAGTCGCTGAGGCTGAGGTCCTTCCATGCTAAGTCTCCAATTCCATTCTGGAGTTGTCCAAATCCACCATATCTAACACCTGTGATGGGACCGCCACTACACATAGCTGCTACTCGTCCCATTGAGTCCCCCACACCAGGACCTCACCACTTTTGGAGCTGTCCCTGACAGTCAGCTAGCCATTCCTGACTCCCTTCCTCCTTCCTTCCTCCTTGGGCCTTGGCCCTTCACTCCTCCTTTGGGAAACACCATTGAGTCAAACCCTTGACCCTCAGTGTTGCTCCCCCTTCCAGCTCCCTTTGTCTACTTCCAGACTACCCTTGTTCGTTTTGATTCCAGACCCCTCCTTTATATACAATGTACTTAGTAACTTGTAACCTCAGTCCAAAATCGACTTGATTCCCCCCTAAGAGACTTTCCCTCTGCTAGATCTGAAATTAGGGACCCCCAGGACAACCAGCAATGGCACAGTGCTCCACCTGAGTCGCTGAGGCCAAGGTCCTTCCACACTAAGTCTCTGATTCCATTCTGGAGTTGTTATAAAAATGGGGCCTAATTGGCCCATTTCTATAGCGTTCGGGTGCAGGAGAGGGCCGTGACATTGAGAAGATGTTACAATTAATGTAACAGATGTTGTAACAGTGGTGTTTACAATAACATGGACATCAGGTGTTTTGGGTGATAATAGTTGGTTTTGGTTGTTATTATTTTCATGTCACGTGATATTATACTGCATAGAGCCCATAAGAGGCTAAAAATGGGAAAATCCCATTTCCATAACAGGAGTCATCCAAACTTGCCATATCTAACATGCTGAGTGACCCCCCTGAGACCTCACAGGGGGTATGGTGTGGTTGTCTGAGGTCAGGGTACTGGATGGAATGGGGGGTTGTACCTTAGTGGAGATTGGCAGGGGAAGAGTTGGGGGATGGAAGGTGATGTTGGATCCATGTCAGGGCATGCCTTCTGGGCAGTAGCATAAGTAGTGCAGTGTCAGGGATGCATCCAGGGTAGAGGGGGTCCGGATGTATCGCCTGGCAGAGGGGCCCTTGCAGGGTGTGAACCGGGTGTGCATACTGGCAGGTCCGGAAAGGGATGGCAGTCCCTGGCCACTCAGACTGAAGAGGAGAATGTGTTATTATCATTAAAAGGGAAAACTATGCTACTTACCTGAAGTGGAGAATGTGAGAAGAAGGTTACTTCTTTGGTTCCCACTTCAGGTACATTTATGTACATGCGGCTTGAGTCACATGATGGGTGCCACGTCATCCTCGGAGACAGCCGTGGCCATCCAGGTGTCCCTGTGGGGGATCCTGAGGGCGTCCACTGCATGCATGTGTGCTGGGCACAGCAGGAAGCCGTCCGGGGTGTGTGGGCCAGATGGGTCAATAGTACATTGATACAAAGGAAAGTGGTCCATGTAGATAGAAGGAATAAACAGGAAGAGAAAGATGAGAAGAATGAAATAAAGAAAGGAGAAGAAAAGGGAGAGAAGAAAGAGGGAAAGAGGGAGGAGGGAGGAAGGAGAGGGATGGGCAGTGGGGAGCGGGTGAGGTGTGGCCAGGTGGGTCCAGGTGGACCCGGGTCAGGCGGGTATGCCCTGACATGCAGTGCCATTTGGCCCATAATGCTACATGATCTTCTATCATCTTTGATCCACTTCTACTGGTTACTAGTTAGTTGCCAGTTACCACCCCTTCACATGTACATAAGACCCTGCCCTAGAGTGGGCATGTCCCCCAGCTCTGTTATCAACTAGGTGTCTGGGGTCTTCCTTGTTGTGAGCATGCACAACCCTGACAATCCAGTGGTGATTGGAACAGACAGGAATAGAGATGGGACTCCAGAGAAGGGGTCTGGGAGTCAAGTCAATGTACAGATATGACAGTCAACACTGTCACAATCTGGCACTTTCCTAATTGGGTAATCAACATGGCCAATTTCACAGGTCCAACTTTTGTTATAGTAATACATGCAAGGTGAGTTTGAAAGAACAGGGGGCACTGTGAAAGCACTTTTATAAGCTCGGCCTGAAATGTTGTGAGCACTCTCATGATGAGTGAAGTTCAGTATGTACCTCTGCTGATATGGTCCACTTTGTGCATCCATGCCAGAAACCCCAGCATATGACTGAGGCACAGTTGCTGGGTCCATCAAATGGTCAGGTTGCACAGTGACTCGTGAAAGATAAAGCGGCAAAAGGGCAAGTGCAGTGCTGAGACAAGCACAGCAGGGTCTGATCAAGCAGCTGGGCCGAGTCTGATCATTGCCCCATGATTAGTCTCATTAAATGCAAACATACAATTCATTGAACAAGAAATTGGTTCAATAGCATAAAAGGGAGCACAACAAACATTACATTTCAGCGAGTTGAGGAGCCAAATACTGATGATTTACAACCTGCGAAAGCAACATTATCAGAAGCAAAAGTGAGTGTCAGAATTTAGCATCCCAAACTGTCAGAGCAGGGAGAGATCTCTGGGAAGAATACATTCATGATGTAGCCAATTGAACAATCAAGATACACTCACGAAAACAACTAAGAGCATTCGGCCTTCCCACTCTGACAATTTCTTCCCTGGGTAGAAAAAATGGCAGCTTTTGTCTTCAAAGGAGTTGTCATCCAACTTTAGATCCTTTAAGATGCTTGGTTGTAACGCTTCTCTCGGCTACAGGGTGTTAGCAGTCAAGCCAGGTGGGAAATAGCTGTCGCACCTCATAAACTTGAATGCAATAATCATCAGTCCCCAGCGGGATTCTAGGCTTAATCAATCGGCGGAATTCCTGATGGAGAAACTTTACGGGATCTTCAGAAGTTGCCTCAACACGGCCCCCATGGACAAACTGATAGGAATTGGGTCGTCCGTCAAACAAGGCATACGGAATATGGAGCTCCCGTTTCGCAGCTATGAATTGATTCAATGCAGTTCACAAAGGCAAATCAGAGACTAAACGGACTGAATGCGAATATGAGGTTTGAGAGTCCTATCTTCCACAGCGGTGCTTCAGGGTCAAGAAGCAAAGTCGTAGTCTTTCGCAGCTGAATGGGTTCCAGCTTTCCCGCCTCTTGCAACTTAACGTAATCCTCATCCGGCATCTGCAAAACGGTCACGGAAAATGCATTAGAGTTTGAACGCTGCATACCTGATACAAAGAAAGCGCCCGAAGAATCTCCTCGCTGCCCAAGCGAGGAGTGACAACGGAGCTGACATAGTCATAAAGCCCTTTCGGCGAATCCCATGGGTGTGCCGTCCATTCGTATCGGCCAAACGAGGATCCGAACTCCTCGAAAACCATGAAGTTAAATGTCAAGCTAGCGCCTATAATGATAGCTCCAGACTTCTATTCACCGGTGACCTGAGCAACTTACTGAAAACCACCATGAGGTCCTCACACTGCGTTGCCTGCTCTAATATTAATTTGACCTTGTCTGAGTCCAAGGGGTTTTTGGCAACATCTTCCAACATCCGTCGCGTCGGCCCCACCCCTGTCGGCATTGGTTCCAAACACTGCAAAGCTCGGGATGAAACACAAGCGAACCAGGGACCACACATTCACCTCACCTCATAAATTTCAAGGCCTGTTATAACTGACGAGGTGCACTGCTTAAACTTGGGATGCGAATAGATGAGACGGACAGCGGTTTGTTGGAGATTTTGTGCAATATCTCGAACACATCCCAGATATTTGAATGAATTGGGTGGATGCTCGTGAATCAAGTGGAAGATGGCCATAGTGGACGATGAGAGATAGTACTGGTGACTGGAGGAAAGAAAGGTGGTGGGATCTCAAGATCGGCTGTCGCCGATCGCTCAGTCCCAAAGGATCGATAACTCACTAGATCACTAGGATCCAATGGATTTGATTTGAGGAGAGTGGGACAGCAATCGTGCCTGAGAAACCATAAGGCACGCACTCAGGATAGCTATCCCACCACTCTAACGTTGTTATCCTTTCTTTCCACCCACTCCCTCTCTAACACCCGGGGTCACGTCTCCCATCCCATTCCTCGTCGTGAGACTCCAGAGGAACGCAATGGTCGTCGAAGCCAACGCCCACCTACGGGGAGCGTAGTATGAAGCTGACTACGGTGACCGTCACCGAGATTCTCGAGCTCCGCATACCACCACCCGACGCTATCGAGGCAAATCCCATTTTCGGGGCCATTAGTCCAACCCTGAAGGCTTCGCCCCATGTGGCATTGCTTTTTACACTAATCTACGGTACGTGGGTTGTCTTACGGAATGGCAATCTTACAGGTCTTGCATAATTATACTAATACCCCCGCCAATTCACCCGCACCCAGAGAATAAATGCTCGTTCGTTTTATACACAGGTTTCCTTCCTCATGGCCGCAGTATGCATGGTAGGTTGAGCAGCGAAGTAGGCTTTAAGCAAGAGCACGAGGTCGCTGGCACTAGAAACCGGTGGGGCTTCCAAAAGTGACTACATGGCTATGTTAATGTTACAGGACCTCCATTATTATTATTCGTAAATATCAATTGCCAATTCAATGAGGAAGCGCGCGCTCAAGAAAGACATGAGCAATACAAGGCAGACAAAGAAATAGGATAAAAACAGGTGCGTCACCACAGCGCCGCATTACCCTTAAGTTACTGTCGCACCCCGATGCCTCTCCCAAAGTGTAATTGTGCGGTCTGGTTCTCCACTTAGCGCCGAGCGGGTTACAGCTTCCAACAATCTGTTCCTACATCACGCAATATACTGGTGCCACGCTGTCATAAGTGCCCGTTGACCAGGCCCCTGTTTGGCGTTGGCATACAGCTCGGCATTGCAGGTGTGGCTGTTGTGCACGGATAATCCAATTAGCTCCGATTCCTCGAATAGCGAACAACGCGAGGGAATATACCTATGTTGGGAGGATTCTTCATTGGTGTTATGGCGCGGTGCATGAGTAGTTGGCCATCTGTGCTCGATGAGAACTGTTTAAAGAGGTGAATGTGAACCAACCCCAACCTTTTTGGTAACGGGGGGCTGAACCCTGAGGACACAAAGGCGCGCTTTCGGCTCGTGAATTGAGTGGGTGCTGATCTTGTCCCTTCGCGGTTTTGATCGATCATCGCCATCTGAGGTGTTACCTGTGCCGTGGTCTCGATGTCCAACGTCACGAAAACCGGTATGGCTCCAGAGCACTCAGGAGTGCTCTGTAGACGGGTTTCCATACTCCCAAACTCCCACCGCTCTCAGAAAACCTAAACCGAACCCCAGAGTGTGATCTCTAACGAATACAAATGAAGTTCACTTAACCAACCTACCGTCTTAGATAGTATTTCGGCGTCTGAGTAGCTGCACCCATGCACTGTCTGCACTGAGGAAATTTTACGGGAGGGCCCGAAAGCTCTTGGGTGCCCGTGACTGGTTTTTTCAATTGGAATAGTAAATGGCTGCACTTCTTCAGCGACTTTATCAAATGTATTACCGGCATCGACTTCCGATGCTCCGTCATCGCCGTTGCCGTTGCCAACATCACCAAAGTCGTTCTCATTCACTTTTGCTCATTTTCTTTTTTCTATTTGCTTTTCTTACACATCAATCTTAGCACTTGTTATCGCCATTGTTCTCGCATCATGATATAATTATAATTATTACACAGATCCCACATCCATAGCTTCTAATGCATTCACAATTCTTCCAATGACATGGTGATAGTCATGGTTATTGCCATTGGCCTTGGCATGTGTCTGCCATTGAAATGGGGCTTCTAACGGAATAACCGCTTGCTCTAGTGACAATAGCTGTAAGGAAATATACAATAAGTTACAAGATATAAGAAATGAAAGAAAGTAACTAACCTCAGTCTCAAGCAATATGCGTGAGAACTGAGGGAAAAGGAAACTAATTCAAGAGATTGATTGTGGCCTTTGTGGATAAGTCCGAAGTGACCAAAATAAGTAAGAAGAAAAGGTGTGGCTGTATGAAAACTCATCCGGCCTCCCATAGCACATGGTTCCTCCAACAGCTTCCAACAATGCAGGGTACTGGAAGAGGTGTGCAGGTGCCACCTTGCTTCTCCAGAAGCCTCAGTTTGCTATGCAGGTGTCTGTTTGCTCTGAGTCAGTACTCAAAGAGGAGTGCTGTATACATCATCAGTCCCCAGCGGGATTCTAGGCTTAATCAATTGGCGGAATTCCTGATGGAGAAACTTTATGGGATCTTCGGAAGTTGCCTCAACACGGCCCCCATGGACAAACTGATAGGAATTGGGTCGTCCATCAAACAAGGCATATGGAATATGGAGCTCCCGTTTTGCAGCTGTGAATTGATTCAATGCAGTTCACAAAGGCAAATCAGAGACTAAATGGACTGAATGCGAATATGAGGTTCGAGAGTCCTATCTTCCACAGTGGTGCTTCAGGGTCAAGAAGCAAAGTCGTAGTCTTTCATAGCTGAATGGGTTCCAGCTTTCCCGCCTTTTGCAGCTGAAAGTAGTCCTCATTCGGCATCTGCAAAATGGTCACAAAAAATCCATCAGAGTTTGAACGGCTACATACCTGGTACAAAGAAAGCACCCGAAGATTCTCCTCGCTGCCCAAGTGAGGAATGACAAAGGAGCTGACATAGTCATAAAGCCTTTTCAGTGAATCCCATGGGTGTGCCGTCCATTCGGATCAGCCAAAGGAGGATCCGGACTCCTCGAAAACCATGAAGTTAAAAGTCAAGCTGGTGCCTATAAAGCTCCAGACTTCTGTTCACCGGCAACATCAGCAACTTACTGAAAACCACCATGAGCTCACATTGCGTTGCCTGCTCTAATATTAACTCGACCTTGTCTGAGTCCAAGTGGTTTTTGGCAACATCTTCCAACATCCATCGTGTCAGCCCCACCCCTGTCGGCATTGGTTCCAAACACTGCAAAGCTCGAGATGAATCACAGGTGAACCAGGAACCACACGTTCACCTCACCTCATAAATTTCAGGCCCTATTATATTTAACAAGGTGCACTGTCAAAACATGGGATGCGATTTGATGAGGTGGATAGCAGTTTGTTGGGGATATTGTGCAATAATGTCATCTCGAACTGATCCCAGATGTTTGAATGAATTGGGTGGATGCTCGTGAATCAAGTGGAAGGTGGTCATAGTGGATGATCAAAGGTAGTGCTGGTGATGGAGGAAAAAAAGGTTGTTTATGCCGCATCGTATTTGGCGATTGAATTCAAACATATTTGATATATATATATATGTATTCAGGAATCACTTGGATGGGACTACAGGTGCCAGAACAGCAATGATTTGCCTCCAATTTTGCCACCCCCATGCTTGCCCTGCCAGACCCTGAACGCCGAAACCAACTGACTATCATTCCAATAAGCAAATGAGACCCAGAGCATTGACTCAACTGGTTTTGAGAAGACCAACATGTGTATTTATTTGTTTGCCATCTCCATATCTGTTTAGTTTATTTAACGCCATGGCATTGTCATTTGGTGCCCAGACTGTACCCAGTCAGAGGAGTGCACGGGGTGACACGCAATTTACTTCGTATGTAATGATGCTGTCAGGTGTGCGACCACAAAGTGTTCGGCAACAACAACGTCGCCCCCCTGCTTCCTACAGTCATTGCATCTGACTGTGCACCCCCATTGCTTACATGTTCTTTCTGTTTGTACCATCAGCTCTGGGCATGCACGCTGCCACTCGCCCTCGCAATTACCCGACTGCTGTCACCATCCACAATGCTATAACCCGACCGCCCACCCATGGCATTGTTTGAGGACTATGCTTGTGGTTCCACATTGTGCTCATGTGTGGCAGCATGATGTGACACAGCCCACCCCCGAGCTGACACAACCAGCATGTTCCCCCTTGTGGTTAGCAACGCCACCACCTCTGCCTGTGCTATCCTGCCTATGCCTGTGCCACTAGAAACTGGCACCCAAAAGTGACTCCACGGCTGTGCAAATGTTACTGGACCCCCATATTTTTTTTCTTTTATATTATTATTATTTACTCATAAAATAGAAGTGATCAAGTGGGTGCTCAATGACAAGTCACAATATGAACGTTAATGCTAGTGGAAGAAGTACCACCCTCCCAGAAAAAAACTATCATTAGCCATTCAACACTAGGTAACACACGCAATAGTAATCCGTTAGCAACATTCCTGTGAGATTGCCACACAGGCAAGAATGGGTGCTCACGATCATGATTGGGGCTGGGGAGCATGGGCATCATAATGCTGCTTTGAAGTCCAGGAAGGAATAACTGGTGATTGACAAACTTTTGAGCTTGCCATGATGTGGAACGCAGAATCAAGTCATTCATGGTCTTGTCTGTGTTGGAATCGTCATGGAAGTTGATACTCTCAACACGAACGGAGAGGGTTTGGAGGTAGTTGCCCTTGGATGTCTGAATTTTGAGAGATGAGGAGGATTGTTCTCAGAAAGGCCATTGAGCTCAGTGATGCTGCAACAATGCTGCATGGGTAATGCAGTGGTGTATGCATTATGTTGAAGGAGTGACACTTACCAGTGAAAGTCTAAGGGATAATGATGGTCCAATGGATCGACTGGACGAGGCTAGCAACAACGGAGAGGAAGAAAGGAGGATGTTGGTGTCAATAACGAGTATGATAAACCCCAGCATGACCTTGAGAGCCTTGGCTAGCCAGTGGCTTGCTATGATGTGTCTGCATGACTGGTAGAGTGTTTAAGGGGGCTTTCTGAACTTATCATAAACTAAGGACTTTCACCTGTTATCAGGTTCGTTACCATACACCAGATGATGATGGTACACTTGGCAATCCCTGTCATACTCACAATTGCCATTTTATGAAAATTTCTGGGCAATGATGGTGCTTGTCGAATGAGGAGCTCAGCAGGACAGTCGAATGGAGAGGGGAAGGGAAAAGGGAGTAAATGATATATCATGTAACAGCAGTAAGTAACTAAGACAATAAAAAGAAATCAATGAACGGGAGGGGTGGGGATAAGTGCTACATGTGTAATGAAAGACAAAGGTATAAAATCTCTGGAACAATGAATGGCGTACCGGTATGTCATGACTTGTCCATCCCATCTTCTCCACCATTGTCTAGTTATTCTTTGTATTTTGACTTCACCTACGTAAGTTTTCAGAATGTGATAGCTTGTTGGTGATACCTAATTATCGGATTCACAGTGTGATGAATCTGCCACATTTGACGAGCCATCCCAATCACTTGAGTGATGTGAACCTAATGTTGCAAGACTGGCTTGGCATGTGTGGCGTGTCCTACCTTTTAGCCAAGTATGTCCAAGCCTGCTATGTTCATCCCGATGCATTACTCTCAGAAAATCTTCAATGACCGCCATTGCCTTGGTTGTAAGATCATGCCAGGTCATCCCTCGCATCCAAATTCCCTGATCCTTTCCCGCTTGCTGGAGAACCATCTCCCCAGCCTCAACCAGAGATTTGCCAATGCTTTGGAAGCGAGCCTGTAGATCTGTAATCTAAAATAAATTCAACATTGATATTACTATAACATCGATAGAGCTATGCTTGTTTAGACTTACTTCTTCTTTATCCGAGCCTTCATTCAGCCAAAGGTCCACTGGCATTTCATTGTCAAGAATGTCCATGTCATCTGTGCATGTTTTGGCCTAGCAATGAAGTTACATTGTTATTGCATGTCAAGAGTGAATATGATACAAACCCTCTTGCTGACAGGATCCGCCAAGGGACTAAGGTCCGGGCTTGAGCATATGCATTTTTGTCTTGTGAACTGACTGAGAGCCAGTCTTGTCCCTTTGCGGTCTTGATCATCACCATCTGAGGTGTTACCGGTGCTGTGGTCTCGATTTCCAAGGTGAGAATACTGATATAAAGGCATGATGCGCCTACGGTGGATTTCCTCCCAGAATGTCATGGGGGGCTTCTTAGAACAGTGGACCAAGTGTTTACAGAGATGGAAGGTATGTGTGGCTTGAGTTCCACACCAACATGTCCAATTGGGGATGTCCATGTGGTAGTGGTGACTGCTAGGCTGCCTTTTTGAGAGATCATTCCATGCAGTCTTGAAGGTGCATTGCCAGCAGGTCAGAGCGTGACCTCGTCCAATGCGGTAATCTGGCTCTAGCATATCGGAGGTATGAATGTAGGAGTTTATGGTGGAGTATGTAATAATGAATACAGTCTGATCAAGAGGGGAGCAGGTTTTGAAACGAAGATATCCATGTTTAAGCCGTTTCCAATGATAATCATTGTTGTTCATATGCATGACAGGTGAGTACTGCTAGATGAGCGAGCCCAAAGGTCCCAGCAAGAATACCAAGAATTCCATAGGTAGGCCCACACCTCTGTGAGGCCGTGCTCATGGCAGAATGTATACATTTGATATACAGAGGTGTGATGGATTTCTTCTTTAGTTTGGGATGAGCCAGAGGGTGTCAGGAAGAAGGGATGTTGGCACAGGTGGTGGATGAATAACTTGAGAATCTGATGGCGATGTACCTCCGGACAGAACACATAGTTAGTGTCTGTCACACGCTTCTCTTCTGTGTCAAACTCATACAATGGGCCATCATCATGCTCACTTTCTTTGTCGCTCTCTTCTAACCCATTGCTTTCATCGACTTCCCAGTTTTCTTGATCCACATCATGCATCCTATTCTGAAGAACTCAAAGTGCCTTTTCGAATTCATCCAATACAAATCCATCCTCACTCTCGGACTCCTCACCCTCCTCACCCCCCTCCAGCCTAGTCAGCCATCTAATGACAGCCTATAGAGGGGGGGCCATTTAGCCTTCAAATGGGCCTAAAAGGGGGTATTTACTAGTGGATGTCCTGGGATGATTCTATAATTCAATCAAATGCTTCACTAATAAATAATCCCTAAGGGTCATCTACAAGATCTGATTGGCTCAGTTTACCCTGAAGCCAGGTTTCGAACCATTTTGATTGGCTGCTCTATCTTACCTAATCCTGCTGAGGGTTCTAACTTGCTTGCGTCTCAGTTTTCTCCTTCTCTCCTCAAGCCTTTTATATGCCCCAGTGTATCTTACATCATCCTATCACCCTGGCAGCATCATTGATGCCATTACTCCATTGACAACTTCATCTCAACTTTGACTGGTGATGTTCAGTGCTTCACTGGTTGACTGGTGAATTGGCTCCCTGGTGCATTGTAGTCATATTTCACCTCATTTGCTGGCTTTATCATGGTCTTAGACAGGTTTCTGTTGTAATGACATCGTTCTGGAATCAGTACTCCAGATCAGACATGATGTGGCTTGCATACCACACATGGCCAACAAACTTCTGCAGGCATCTCAGCCCCAGTCTTCACCTGCCAATCATTTCCACATTTGAATAGGCACTTTCATTCACACCACATTGGTGGCATTCTCGCCCTGCAACCACAACAGCCTCATCTTGAGCACTGCAGACTTCCTCTTGACATTGCTCTGATGTCATGTTGAAAGTCAACAGCTACAGGAAATCCAGCAACAGCATGAGAAATCCCACACTCACCTAAAACCCAGCTGCTTTCAGAGTGCCTTCGCTCACCTCACATTGGTGGCATCTACCACTTCGGCAAGTGGCACACCCCCTCACTGTCATTTTAACCCAGGTGACAACTAACCACTTTCTGGCTATATCTGACAAACACCCTCCGATGTCATCAATGACAGAGCTTTAATTCCGTCTCTTTATGTATAAGTACCAACTCATTAGTTTACATGCTGTGTCACCCCTTTGTCTGACTCTTTGCTTTCACCGATGCTGCCTGACTTCTCACTGGGCTTTGACTTCATGCTCTCATTGGTTGATTTCACGACTTTCGGATTCTCCAGCAACTTTCACATTGTCTCCGTTCGCCTTGCTCAGGCAGTATATATGTACACAAGAATCACTCATCTTCAGCGCTGCGGATTTGGCTTGTGAGCAAGAGACTGCACAGCAATGTCCATTGGACATGCAGATGGCCTTAAACCCTGATGTGCACCTCAACGATGACTGGGATGGAGCAAAAGGGAGTGGCAGTGCCTGTTCCCAGTGCATATCTGAATTCATTTCCATGTTTTTAGATACAATCTCACTCTGAGGGAATTTCATCACCCTTGCCTTTGCCCATATCCAATTGGGAACAAAGAAACAATGAAAGAAATATGAATGAATGGGGAATATATGATAGCGGATCTGAAATGGGAATTGTGAAAGTTAACTCCGCAACACTTCGCCACAGAGCCCGCCTATCCTCCCGTCAGCAACCTCCTCGTCTCCAGCTTTTCAACGAACCCTTATTTGTCCCAATTGGTGCAGTAGTTCTTGAGATGTGGCCATTGACAGGTGCTGTCAAGACCATGTGAGACTCTACTCTGTGCTGAACCATCCAAGTATGGGGTTGCCATTCTGGGAAATGCTCCATGGGTGAAGAAGGAAGGTAGAGCATCACTAATGGGTAGAAAAACGGCTGGGTTGTATGTGTGGTTATGGAGGTCTGGAGAGGGGGTGAAATTGGCAGCATGGTTGGGTGGGGGAATTTGGCTTGGGGCTGTCAGGAATGATGGGAAAAATATAGAAAAAATAAGGAATGGGTGTATGGTGTGTTGGATAGTGATAGAATGATTATTGGAAGTGTCAGTGGGTATGTAGCGTGTGTTGGTGGGCAAATTCCACAGAATCCGACTTTTTGCGGTGCATGGAGTTGTCCCCACAACAATGGACAAACTGAATGGATGAACCAGATGCTTGAGCAGTACCTGCACATCTATAGTAACTATTAGCAGGATAATTGGTCTGAACTCCTACGTTCGCATACAATAACGCTCCAAATGCCACCACAGGTGTCTCTCCATTCTCCACCAATATGGGCTACCATCTGAACATCACTGTTCATCTGGAGCAAGACTTGACATCAGTATGTGCCCAAGAGTACTTGGTGGATCTTGACTCCCTCCATCACTTCCTTCATGAAGAAATGCACCACGCACAGATCTGTTACCAGGGCCTGGCAGACTCCTGCAGGAGCCCTGCCCCAGCTTTCAAGGTAGGAACTTCGGTCTATGTGAAGACCAAGTTCTTCTGCTCTACCTGACCTTCCAAGAAGCTCTCTGAGAAAAATCTTGGCCCTTTCGAGATCATCGCCCACATTGGAACCCACTCCCTCACTCTCCACCTCCCAGAAAACATGCAAGCCATCCACCCAGTATTCCATGTCTTGCAGATCGAACCCTCTGTCCCAAATGTCATCCTGAACCATCACCAACCACCCCCACCTCCAATAGAAATCGAAGGTGAAATGGAGTTCGAGATTGAGGAGATCCTTGACTCCAAGATCAACCGATGTAGATGCAACAAGTTGCTCTACTTGATCAAGTGGTTAGGTTATGAAGGGACCAACGAGGAGATGCAATGGCTCCTTGCTGGTGAACTCAATCACGCCTCTGACTTCGTTGAGGCATTCCACTCTTGGTACCCAGACAAGCCTGGACCCGAAGCTCCTTAGGAATCCTGACCCCTCTCCCATTTCTCCTTTCTCTCCACTCCTCATTTCCATTTTAATTTTTTTCTGTAAGTACAGCTCCCCTCCCCTTACTAATTCTGGGCCTTCAAGGGTTCAGGCCTAAGAAGGGGATACTGTCATATCCATCCACAGCCATCACCCTCCACCACCTCTGATCCTTCTGGATTACCTCTGCTCCTTTATCACTAACCTTGGAGCCTCTGTATTCCACAATCCCCTCCGACACCCCCAATGGTCATCACCCCCTCAATTCAATATATTACCTACACCTCCCTAAGTACAGAGCCCTGAAGGCCTCCAGACAGCTCCAATGTCTGCTAGTGCACCCCCACCTCTGCTGGGAAATTTAGTTGCCTGCCCTGCAAGTCTACCTTCGGGCCCATCCCTCCTTTCTGTTTCTGGGTTATAGCCTGTCACTCCACTAACCCTGTAACCTGACTCATCAGTATATTCAGTCAGCTAACCTGTAACTCCATTGAGTAACATTTGAAAGTGTAATATCTCCCATGGGCTCCATGGATTTCCATGGGTTTCCATGGACTTTCATGGGCTTTTGTGGGCTTTTGTGGGCTTCCATGGATTTTCATGGGGAGCCATGAATGCCCATGAACACCCATGGAAGCCCATGTACAACATTATCTTCAAATTTCCATGGAATTCCATGGGTATCATGAATGCCCATGGATACCCATGAATACCCATGGGAGCTCACACAAGTGTTATTAGAAGGGTCCATGAATGTCAATGAATGTTCATGGATGGGAGGTCCACAGAAGTCCATGACAGTGCATGAACAACAACATACTTGTCAGGACTCACTCAGGGGCAGCCTGACCTCAGAGTTGGGTATGTGCAGTGTTCTGGGCAGTGGGTGTTGGAGTGACAGCAACTGATTGGGCCACGTGATTCTGGACTGGCAGACATCCGGAACATGCTGTTGCATTCTTTTCTTTTTTCCTCAGTTCAAAATAGTTGGGAACTGAGGTCTGTCCTTTCCCTTCACTCTTTCTTATCATTTAATTCACTGTATATCTACCTAGTCTGACCTATCTTTTAGACTTCACCCAGTGGCTATTATGTTAGTGGGGAGTGAGTTGAGAAGAAGGGTGAGTTTCCCTATTCCTGCTAAGCTACTCTAAAAGGAGGTGGACTGTGCCAGTTTATAGCCTGACTGCAGGCAGAAGCCAGGTGCATTCCCACAGGTCCATATGTGGGCTCCTGGCTGTAAATACACATGGAAAAATAGGGAAAAATGGGGAGAGACTGGGGGGAGGGGTTTCAGGGTTGTATGGTCAGGTGAGGTACCCTGACAATACTATAGTAAGTGAAAATATCAGTTGAAATTGCAGGACTCCATAAAATA